ATAGAGGTCGCTGATGCACCAGTGCATATTTATGCACAACGCGTTATGCACGCCGAGGGTCATACCACTGAGTAAAAGCCGACTGGGTGGGTGGGGGGGTCTTCAACAGAAAGCCTTGGCAGCTGGAGCGGAGAGCTGCATGGAAGAGAGTAGAGTGATATGAGAGGGGAGAGGGAGGTGGGAGAGTGCGTGGAAGGGAGTCGAGTGAGATGAGAGGGGAGAGCGAGGTAGGAAAGTTGCATGGAAGGGAGTAGAGTGAGATGAGAGGGGAGAGAGAGGTGAGAGTCGCATGGAAGGGAGTAGAGTGAGATGAGAGGGGAGAGAGAGGGGGGAGAGTTGCATGGAAGAGAGTAGAGTGAGATGAGAGGGGAGAGAGAGGTAGGAGAGGTACGATTTTCCGGGCTACGGCAATGTAACGAATCGTCGCGTGCCCAGTACCGATCGATTACAATGCAATGAGGATGAATACGGTAGCGTCTAAATGCGATCCAATCTCAAAACGATGCACAGAAATCAGTGAGTACGGTAAAAAACATTTTGAAGGGGGTGGGGGGGGAGAGGCAAAGACTGTCAAAGGTAAACCCATGAAGGTCTGAGAAGGTCCTTGAACGGGTGTAGGGGGTCGACAGCACGGGTGGCTGGAGAGATGGAACTCCAGACGATGGGACTCGCGCTCCTTTCCCCGGACAGCGACGTCACGCTGAGAGAAAGTCGACTGGGGACTTCAACGGAAAGCCTTGGCAGCTGGAGCGGAGAGTCGCATGGAAGGGAGTAAGAGTGAGATGAGAGGAGAGAGGTAGGGGAGTGCGTGGAAAGAAGGAGAGTGAGATGAGAGGAAAGAGAGAGGTAGGAGAGTGCGGGGAAGGGAGTAGAGTGAGATGAGAGGGGAGAGAGAGGTAGGCGAGTGCGTGGTAGGGAGCAGAGTGAGTGAGAGGAGATACGTAACCAGGGGCGAGATCATAACGGATCTTGAAGACAGTGTATGCTATCTCAAAGTTCATTTGGGAGACAGAGGGAGGGATTGGGGTACTAAATTCAATCATCGATAATGTTTGGCGACGAACTATCAAGTAGCTCCTCTCGTGGAATTACAACGTATACTATTTAGGTGCTTTTGGTCTACACGTGCAATAAGATGCACGCATCGTGATTCTCTCAGAACCAAGATTAATTGACGAGTTGATGCATCGGTCAACCGGTCGGAGTCTCGGTAATTTCTAAATGCTATTATTGTTCGCCACGACTAGCGATATCGGAACCTCCCGTGATACAAAGCAAATGCACACCCACTTCAGGTGTGGTATTGTACGAGTGCGATGTGAATTGGAAACACGTGTTCTGTTAATAAAGATATATTAATAATGGTACGAGTGTTTTTAATCAGCCAGCTGTGTTGCCATCAGGATTGGAACCTGTGTGACAAGGCCTTAATTATAATATTGGGGGGGACACATTCTCCCTAATATTCAAAAATGCTCAAAATGTCCCCCCCAATATCTTGCAATAAAATAGATTTCTGTTTATATGATTGTGGTTATGGTTGTACTTTATTAATCCCTAATCTCTGCCATTACATACAATGAAACAAGAAAAGGTCAAAAAGAAAAAACAGAGCAATGTAATACAATACACTATTAGACATTGTAAAAAAAAACAAAAAAGTCCATCCTATGTGTTAGTGAATTTTTCTATATTTTAGGCAGGAAATTCTTTTCAAATTTAAATTTTTTTCTGGGGGGGGGGGCTTTGGTCCCCCCAATGTTGACTCCATGGCTACGGCCTTGCTGTGTGAAGCGGCAAGCCCCCTCCACTCCACCCCCCCCCCCCATGAATGTATAACCCACTTCAAGCCGTGGTTGCCACGCATTCAATGCAGCCCTCAGTTAACATATGGACACGTTTGCATGCAAGGCGTGGAACAGCAATTATGCCTGACCGAATTATGCCTTGACCCAATAATCCCTTGACCAAATTATACCTGACCAAATTATACTTCCATCCATTTATTCCTTGACCCAATGCCTCGACCAAATTATGCCAGACCAAATTTATCTCCCCACCCATTTATGCCCTGACCCCTTTCATGTCAGCAAAGCGATTGCATTTGCGGAGGAGAAAAACAGCGCGCGATCGACAACGGTTAAGACTCGTGATGGGAACCAACATTGTGACGATGCTTCCATCCCTTGATTAAAATTGTCGTGCTCATGACACGTGCGTCCGCGTGCTGTGCGGATCGTTTACGGTGCACGCGACGTGACGTGCGAATTCTCGGCTCGTGCTTTCGCCAAGTGCAGCAAACTAAAGCGCGCAGGACGAAACAACATACCGAGACGATGGGAAAGCTACGGTACGTGTGTATGTTGAACTTCTTTCGCACCGCACGCAGCCAACCGTGCCCATCGGAGGTGCGCGGGGGGGGAGGACAACAAACTGAACTGACGAAAAAGTTCCGTTTAGTTTTTGTGATGACCCATAACGCTGTACATTAGGCGAAACGTTTTGTATCGTCGTCTTGGGTTGCATCGACTGAGCTCACTAACGACGAAAGATCCCCCCGTGTAGCCTTGACGGACTTTTGGGGCAAGCTGCTGTTCGCGAGCACCTATTAAGGCCACGAGGGGGTTGCGGGGGGGGGGGTGCCGCTAATCGCTGCGCCACCGCTCCGCGGCTGAGCTCACGCGCACACGAGGTGGCGGAGCCGTCACCACGGCGCCTGGTGCCAGGCTAGGTGCACTTTGAGGCCACGTGAAGTTGTCGAAGCAAGGCTGTAATGACACATCCCCCCCCAATATTCAAATATGCTCAAAAAGTTCCCCGCCCCCCAATATATTGCTATAAAATATATTTATGTTTATATGATTGTGGTTATGGTTGTACTTTATTAATCCCTAATCTCTTCCATTACAATACAATGAAACAAGAAAAGGTAAAAAAGAAAAACAGAGCAATGTAATACAATACACTATTAGAAATTATTGTAAAAAAAAGTCCATCCTATGTGTTAGTGAATTTTTCAATATTTTAGGCAGGAAATTCGTTTTCAAATTTAGATTTTTTTTCTGGGGGGGGGACCCCCAGACCCCCTGGAAGATTTGGTCCCCCCCCCAATGTTGACTCCATAGCTACGGCCTTGTGTCGAAGGCTCTCTGGCAGGTCAGGGGACAAGCCCAGGTTGCACGTGGGTTGACTAACTGGGCAGACTGGCTCCCCGCTGCGCCAGCTGGCTGCGTTTTTAGTTTTTATCCGCCCGGCGCTTCGCTCGTTGTTGTGAGCGTCGCTCCTGCGCCCTCCGCTGTTGCTGGAGGGCGACTGCCTCCAAGTGCCCAGTAGCAGCAGCAGCGTCCTTCACGAGCCTCCTCCACGGAGGCCGATCTTGACACCGCCGGTACCATTCACCCGCAAATCAAATCAACTCCACTGCGCACAAAGGCAAAGATCCCCTCCCCATATAGCCCTAACAGACTGTTGGGGCAAGTGCTGTTAGCGAGCAGCACCTATGAAGGCCGGCACGGCACACGAAGCTGAGTTGGGGTGGCCAGCAAAATCACTCCCGGCCGCCTTTGTCTCCCTCAGTGGCGATGTTCACACACCGCACCGTGGCACTCATTCGAGGCTGAGTCGACCACGCAAACACAAAAAAACACGCACAAATACACAAACACACAGAGAGAAACATTAAAAAACGAACGAAGTAAATTATTAAAAATCGTGCTACAAATCGGAAGTTGCGTTTCCGACACGCGCAGCCTGCGGGCCAATCAGCGCGCGAGACGCAACTGCCTGGGCCCCGCGTGAGGGGGGGGGGGGCTTGTGAGGGGGGGGGGCCTCGTGAGGGGGGGGGGGCTTGTAAGGGGTGGGGCCTCGTGAGGGGGGGGGGCTTGTGAGGGGTGGGGCCTTCTGAGGGGTGGGGCCTTGTGAGGGGGGGGGGGCTTGTGAGGGGGTGGGCCTTGTGAGGGGGGGGGGCTTGTGAGGGGTGGGGCCTTGTGAGGGGGGGGGGCCTTGTGAGGGGGTGGGGCCTTGTGAGGGGGGGGGGCCTCGTGAGGGGGGGGGCCTCGTGAGGGGGGGGGTCTCGTGAGGGTGGGGTCTCGTGAGGGGTGGGGCCTTGTAAGGGGTGGGGCCTTGTGAGGGGTGGGGCCTTGTGAGGGGGGGGGGGTCTCGTGAGGGGGGGGGGGCCTTGTGAGGGGGGGGGGTCTCGTGAGGGGGGGGGGCCTTGTGAGGGGGGGGGGCCTTGTGAGGGGTGGGGGCCTTGTGAGGGGTGGGGCCTTGTGAGGGGGGGGGGCTTGTAAGGGGTGGGGCCTCGTGAGGGGGGGGGGCTTATGAGGGGTGGGGCCTTCTGAGGGGTGGGGCCTTGTGAGGGGGGGGGGCTTGTGAGAGGGTGGGCCTTGTGAGGGGGGGGGGGTTTGTGAGGGGTGGGGCCTTGTGAGGGGGGGGGCCTTGTGAGGGGGTGGGGCCTCGTGAGGGGGGGGGGGGCCTTGTGAGGGGGGGGGGGAGCTTGTGAGGGGGGGGGGCCTTGTAAGGGGTGGGGCCTCGTGAGGGGGGGGGACCTCGTGAGGGGGGGGGCCTCGTGAGGGGGGGGTCTTGTGAGGGGTGGGGGCCTTGTGAGGGGGGGGGGTCGTGAGGGGGGGGGGTCTCGTGAGGGGGGGGGGCCTTGTGAGGGGGGGGCCTTATGAGGGGGGGGGGTCTCGTGAGCAGGCGGGGGCCTTGTGAGGGGGGGGGGTCTCGTGAGGGGGGGGGGGCCTTGTGAGGGGTGGGGCCTCGTGAGGGGGGGGGGTCGTGAGGGGGGGGGGGGTCGTGAGCGGGGAGGGCCTTGTGAGGAGGGGGTTGGGGGGGGCTCGTGAGGGGGTGGGCCTAGTGAGAGGGGGGGGGGGGCTCGTGAAGTGGGGGTCTTGCGAGGGGCGGGGGGCTTACGAGGGGGGTGTGGCTTGTGAGGGGGGAGGGGCTTCGTGCTATTTAAAGGGACGGGGGGGTGGAGGGGCAGCGTCACGCTGCGTGTTATTGTGCTGCAGTTTCCGGCAACACAGCAGCTGCTGCTGCTCTTACCACTGCGCTGATCCTCTGTTATTGTTGTTCCGTGTGCTTCCTCGCGATAATAATTAACGTGAGTTCACAATCGTCATCGGCATCATATTTTTTTGTGGCAGCCCTTTGTTGCGAGTAATCCACTGCTGGATGAAGGTCTCCTAGCCCAATTTGTCCGTGTCATCATCGTCGTCATTGGTGGTGGTGGTGGGGGGTTGCTTCACCATACTTCACCACGCTGGTGAATATATTACTTGCTGTTTCACCTTCCGCTGTACAGGTGAGTGACTGCGTATCGTGATTAGCGCCACTTATGTCGGCAACGTTTCGAACACACACACACACAATGTACTGTATACATACGCAGATATATACTGTACCTTAGTACATACGCAGGATGTATTTCTTCCTGAATAATCCGTGTGCCGTGAAGAAGGGACATTTGCCCGAAACGTCGTCTATTATATATTCCAGATTAAAGCTGCAGCCTTATTGAGTTTTTAGATATGTTTACTGTACTGTACGTGAATTGTGAGCTTTGTGCGACCGTTGCGATGGACCAGTTATATTCAGTCTCCATTCGCGTGTTACATAAACATACTATCATCAGCGCCGACCAAATTACACGCCAATTCAGACCTTGTTGACCCTTCGTACATCTAAAACGTTCATCCCACAAAATCCCCATCGCAAGGGGAGAAACACAAAGAAATAGACAAACACATTTTTTGTGGGTGCCCCTATTGAAACGTCTCTACGCCGTTGTGGACTTTAACACTCAATTTCCCTGTACAATAATAGGGAGAAAGCCGTATGGATTGGCGGCTATGCATAAACACGTGCACACACGACACTGCTGAACACGTATCCACGAGGCTTAGTTTATTGCTGATTTTTTTAAATTATTATTTTAGTTTTTTCACAAAAAATGGCACGCGCGCACAGTTACCAAAGATGTAATTCGTTTGACAAAAGCTGCGTGCAGTCTCCTGCTGTATACAAACAAAACGAAGGCGAAGATATGAATATATCTCCCCCCCCTTACACAAAGAACGAGGGGGTGGGTGGCCAGTTCTACACCCTGCCGCCTTTGTCTCCCCAATAGTGACGTTTATACACCAGCTTTTTTTGAGGCTGGGTCGATCTAGGGGAGGCCCAGGACCAGTTCAGATATTCGTCACTGGTGTTGGCCGTGAACGGGTATGGAGCTGTGGGGTCACCGGGTTCACAGTGCAGTCTGCTAACCACTGCGCCACCGCTCTCCACATACCAAAATTAACACACAACTCTAACGAGAGCTACGCACATGAGCACGCACGCAAACATAACGCGTGTCTACATTTATCGTTATGTAAAGCATACAAATACGTCTGTACGTACATACAATAATCCACATACATGGACTTGTATAATAGACAAATATGAACACGTAAACATGTGCATTATAGACATCTTTGGATTTGTTTAAAAAATTTCAAATAAATGCCATGAAAAGGGGACCATTGCCCGAAACGTCGCCTATTCTACATTTTATTTATTATACGTGTTTTCCTTTTTTTTTTTGGCCAATGTTATTGTCGAACACGTTAAGTTATTTATTGTTGTTATCATGCGTGCACATGCCCCATTGTGCCACAGACGGGCCCGTGTTTGTGTTTAGCATTGGCCAAACACATCTGCGTGGGGTTTTTATTTCTTTGCTGCAGGTGGTGTCAAGGAGGAGATGCCGTTCCTGGGACAAGACTGGCGTGCTCCTGGTGACAGCTGGTTCAAAACCCGGGCTGGATGGAAGCGATATAGCGAGCCCCAACTAAACGGCGGGATCGGCAGCATCGTCATCTCAGATCTCGGCGAAGACAACCGCCTGGATTCTTTGCACGCGTGAGACAATCTTCTTGCTCTCGTAAAAAAACTAAACACGATTTAAAAATGTTTTTTACCAGGTAACTCCCACTGAGCTATATTTACAGGCAATGCTCCGGTTTACGCACTTTTGTTGTATGTTATTTTGGAATAACGCGGCACGCTTTGCCTTTAGAACTTTTATTGACGTGCGCGGGGCGACTTTCGGAATAACGTCATCCGCAACGCGACGACGTATGCCACCCGAGCCTGGCACCACCACCCAGTGGCGTTGCCAGCAGCCAGTGCGATACGATAGCTAGTGCGCTATACTCGCTGTGTGTACACCAGCGGCCCTCCCTTTGTCTCTACAACGCAACTCCGGCGTAGTTTCAAGTAAGTAATGCTGTATTTGTTTTTCTTTTGTTTTACAGGAAGTATTTTTGTGTACATGTATTGTATTGATATAGGCTCGGATAATAGAGGCGATTATGTCTGCGAGTGTAAATGAAATGCCCGAACCTCCTCCTTTACCATTATTTCTTAGGGGAAAATTGCTTTTCACGAAAGGCAATTTTGAGATGCGCGTGCTTTTCCAGGAACACATTTATCGCGTATGTCAAGGAGTGCCTGTACATCTTTTTGAGAAGCTACCTGGCCACAAATGATGGCTCAATGAAGTGGCCTATCATGTGGAAATGAATAGCAGCCAAATACTCTAAATGCATGCTGATTCTAAACGTGACGATTTATCTGCAAATAAATTCCTTGGCTGCCTGGCGCGTTCTTTTACCGGCAGCTGTTATTGACTCAATCTCTCTGGCCCCTATATATGTGTACATGTGTGCCATGAACAATGACCATTGCCCAAAACGTCACCCACTATAAATTATCTTCCTTATAGAGGGCTTTTGGTACCAAATGCGTTGAGTTTTTTTTTGTTGTTGAACGTTTTTATCCTTAACGTGTTCCCGTGTTTTTGGAACGGTCGACCACTTTGGCAGAGTGGGACTGGCGCTACTACCCAGCAAGCCTTTCAAGATAAATAAGAAAGAGCCCCCTACACTTAGCGGGGCGATGATGGGTGTTTTGAGGGATATTTTCCATTTGTTTTTATTGTAATCGAGGAGACCTGGATTGGACAAAGTGTCCACTGTAAAAAAAAAATGAAATTCTCATTTACAATTTTAGAGGTATGGGTAACATCGACAGGAAAAACAAACACTCTCACTGCTGTAGTCTCTAGAGGTAATCTCAGATGACGTCAGTTCCAAGATGATGATAATGGCTTGGGAGGCCTTCATCCAGCAGTGGATAGGTCATGGCCGATGATGATGCTTATACTTGTTTGTACCCACATCTCACTTGGAAAAAAACTTTAGGTCTCATTGATCTCTCACCTGCTTTTAAAACCATCACTGTTGTTTTTTTGTATTTTGTCAAATTAATAAAAACAATCTGTTATGCAGTCATTAGTGTTCAGATTGGGATCATCAACTCGCTACATATGAGAACAATGTTTAATCACGGGTGGCTGAAATTCCCATTTGAACCCAGAGTCTTTGCAGTGCCAGCACGGCGCTCTGATCTTGAATCCATTGATCCACTTCTGTTATTATCATCATCTTCCATGGTCAGTCCACTGCTGGATGAAAGCCTCCGCAAGCATCCGCCACCACCTCTCGCTATCCTGCGATGTGACAATGCAGCCAGCAGCACCTGCGTATGAACCGAAGGTCAAATTCCAGAAGGCGTCCTTTTTGTAACCCATCGCCGTTAGCACATTCTTTTTAATTAGCATTATAACTGATCGGATTCCCATGGGAGTAGGTCGTAAAGTGGTGGTGCCGAGTGTTCGGTATCGGGGTGTTGAAGTCCCGCGTACCACAGGGGGATTGTTTTACAAATTGAAATTGCCCTCACTCGACGCTGGGAGAGGTCCTCCCGGCTTGCGCTCCTCGCGCCAGCTCAGTTTCATCTCATGCATGATTGAAGGCCATTGTCAGTGGTCATATAAGGAAGGTGGGAGTCGTAGCATCAGTTTGCGTGCGTGGAACGTACGTACCGGAGTATGTGTTCACGTGTGTGCATGTGTCCAAGCGAGTGGGGTGCGGTAGTGTAGCGGTTAGTGCGCCACGCTACGAACCTTATGACGTGGGTTTGATTCCCGCTCACGGCCAAAACCAGGTGACGATTATCTGAACTGGACCTGGGCCTTACCGAGGTCGATTCAGCTTTAAATAAGTACCTGGTGTGGTGTGTAAACATTGCCACTAGGGACACAACGGCGGCCAAGCGTGGTACTGGCCACCCACCCCCTCGTGTGCCGTGCCGGCCTTCATAGGTGTTCGCTAACAGCACTTACTCCAGCAGTCTGTTAGGTTATAGGGGGGATCTTTATGTTTGGGGAGCGGTAGTGTAGCGGTTAGCGCGCTGTGCTACGAATCCAGCTACTTGAGTTCAATTTCCGCTCACGGCCAACATCAGTGATGATTATCTGAACCAGTCCTGGGCTTCCCCTAGGTCGACTCGTCCTTAAATGAGTACAAGATACGATATGTAAACATCGCCACTAAGGAGACAAAGGCGGTTGGCAGTAGTGTTGGCCGCCCATCCCCTCGTGTGCCGTTCCGGCCTCCGTAGGTGCTTGCTAACAGCACTTGCCCCAATGGTCAGTTTAGGCTATACGGGGGGGATCTTTGTCTTTTTTGTCTGGGCGAGTTGGCTGAGCGGGAGCGTCGTGGCTTGCACGCCGAGTTACGAACCTGGTGGCTCAAGTTTAATTCTAGGCTACGGCGGCTGAGATGAGTGGTGATTATCTGAACCAGTCCTGGGTCTTCCACGAGTTTGACTCGACCTTAAATGAGCACCTGGTGTGGTGTATTCACATTGGTGCTGGGGAGATTAAGGTGGCCAGACACGGTTACAGTCGCACCACCCTATCGTCGTGTGCCTTACCAACCTTTGCGTTTGTGCACTGTGTCAAAGTAGATTTTAATACGGATAGTTTCGCTTGTTCAGCAGCCATGCTTTAAACGTTTTCCCCTTTGCTCGTTCAAAGTCAGACGTTTTCAAAATGTCGAGTTTTAGTTGGGAAGGTTTTCTTTTCGTTTTTCAAATAATTATCTTGCGTTGCTGGATTGAAAATAAAGCATGGGGGGAGGAGAGGTGTGGGCGGTGTTTTTTTTTACGTTGGAATAACGTTGTGGGGGTGTGCGCCACCACGTTTTTCTCAAGCCATGAATGTAAGCAGAATTTAGCAATCTCCAGCCTGCTACGCACATGCGATGCCTGTGCTCGTGACTAGCATTGCATTTAGTCGCACGCGCTACAATGGCATTAATCGATAGGTGTGCCCTGGTTTCTGTAGGGGGCCTCCTCATGGCTGTGTCTGATTGCCAGAACAAGTATCACTAACTGACGGTCGTGGGGTTTTTTCTGTTCACGATTAGTCAGCCACCCGTCCAGGGTTCTTCCTATGTATTTTAATTTCCTGTCGATGTTTCATATCACTCACGTGATTGTTGGCGTTGTTGCACGATATTCTCCATCAAAGACACTCCGGTACCCTTTTTGGTGAAATTTGCACCCACATCAAGCTACCACGGTGATCTTGCTATCATAGCCACTTGTGATCTCGAGATAGAATGCTTGAGGAAAATTATTGGTAGCATATGCCACCCTAGGTGGTACTGATCGGTAATTTTTGGACCAAATTGAGCCACATTTAGAGACATGCGTTTCGACTATTTAAATTATTTTGCTGATATAAATGGCCAAATAATGAGCCGCTTTGTTCAGCTATCGTTTGTGGCCAGGTCGCTTTTGAACAATAAGTAATGCCTCGGTGGGCTTTGCCTGGTAGGATGGGGTTTGTTTAGTTTAATTTGTAAGTTTTAAGGGTGATTTCTTTATCTTTCTTGTACTTTATACTCCTATCGTGTTTCTGTATTGTTTGTTGTTGTAATATTCTTACTTGGCCCTACTAGACATCTGTGAAAAAGTGCTCTTTTGCTCATAGGATTCCTCCAGTATAAATAAATTATTCTGATTGAGCCAACGGTTCCGTGATGTCTCTTCACCCCCTTGTGCCCCGCTCCGCCTGCTCCATCCGCTCCACCTTGACCCTGGCACATCGCAACCCGGGCTCGCCGTGAAGGAGTGACGGCGTGGACAAGGAGAACGAGCGTCGTGACTGTATCAACGCGGCCAAGAAGCGGCGGAAGGAGAACGCCAACAACAACGTCCGCACGCAATGTACGCTCGAGCGAGCCGCGAGCCGGTGCAGAGGCCGTTTCCACCAATGTTTGGTGATTGAATGAGCAATCGCATCGAGAATGGCGATTTCTACGGGGTTTTTTTTCGGTATAAAAAATTGGCAGGAACTTGAACGCGATTTACGCCATCACGCAATTTACTCTCTCGTGCCACACCCAGCATCGCGAACACATACCATTTTACTCGGCATTATTTGCATCGCTGTACCGTGTTACTTTATTGTTGAATGTGGTCTACTGGTGTTTAGGTTTTTTTGTTACATATCTGTAATATCGTGGTTCAAAAATGGTTCTTGATGTAACCCACGTCACCCTAGCAGAAGAGGCGGTGTTGTTGCATCCGTCTGGGTGGGTTAATTGAATGCGTGTATGTATGTTGTTGAACTTCTTTCGCACCATACGTAGCCAACCGTGCTAATTGGAGGTGCGGATCTCCTGGTTACATAACGGAAACGGCGTTGATAGCAGTGACGATAACTGCGATGCTAACAAACGATTAGCTCGGTCGTGATGCGACATCATATTTCCACATTGCGGTGATTCGAAATTGTTTTGCAGACTTCCATAAGGACAAGTGGATTTACGTTCACAAAGGGAGCACCAAGGAGGTGAGATTTGCGATGCTGGTGTCTTCGTACGTGCGTGCCAGTATATCGCCAGTCGTGGGCAGTGCCACCGGTTTGAGTAGTTGGGGGGGGGGGGGTATCTGAGGGGAAGTGGGGGGCATGAGGGGGCAGGGAAGTTGGGGCCAGGGAGCTGAGGCAAAGGGGATGCCACATATATTCAAGAGGATATAATCTTCCTTTGCTCTGTGGGGGAATTGTAGATGAGGGGGTGGGACATGAGGAGGTTTAGTGTAGCTGTGGTGGGGGAGCTGTAGCTGAGGGGATAGGACACAGGGAGGCTGAGTAGCTGAGTGGGGGAGCTGTAGCTGAGGGGACACGGGGAGGCTGAGTGTAGCTGTGTGGAGGAGCTGTAGCTGAGGGGACACGGGGTGGCTGAGTGTAGCTGAGTGGGGGAGCTGTAGCTGAGGGGACACGGGGAGGCTGAGTGTAGCTGTGTTGGGGAGCTGTAGCTGAGGGGATGGGACACAGGGAGGCTGAGTGTAGCCGTGTGGAGAAACTGTAGCTGAGGAAGATGGGACACGCGGTGGCTTAGTTAAACAAGCAAATGATGCGAGTGAATCTCTGCTTCAGTTTCCATTTGTATTTTTGCCTACCCCCTTGGCAAGGCCATTTATAATGATAAAAAAATATGTATTTCATACGGCGCCCATGCTATTTTAACTGTAAAATGTTATCACTCGATATATAAAATTGCCTTGCACCCTTGCTTGTTGGGACAACAGCCGAGTTGGTCTACGCGTGGGGTGGGGAGATCCTTGTCTTTGTGTTTTGCCGGCAGCGCCACGGCTACTGCACGCTGGGGGAGGCGTTCAATCGCCTCGACTTCTCCAGCGCCATCCAGGACACCCGCAGGTTCCACTACGTTGTGCGGGTGAGTCGTGCCCCCGATGAGAACTCACCTGATTTAAAGCTTTCGTGACTGCAGGGATTCATATTCTGGGTTCTTTCGGTAAAGTCACGTAGAAGGGAAATAATAAAATAATACAAATATGCAACAATAAAAATTCTCACGACGTTTCGACTGCAATACAAGCGATCATCATCAGCTGTGGATTTCACACCTGATGATGATTGCTTGTGTTGCAGTCGAAATGTCGTGAGAATTTTTATTGTTTATATTTTTTAGTTTATTATTTTCCTTCTACGTGACTATACCGAAAGAACCAAGAATATGAGAACTTGCTTATTCAGGCGGTGGAGGGAAGGGCAGGGGGGGTGATGCATGTACGTTGAACTTCTTTCGCACAGTATGACGTTGGTCAGTGCGACTCAAACACAGCGTCAACACTTCGTCTATCCACAACACCTTGCTGATCTCGTCACGGAGAATAAACCATCACGCGGACTCCGGTCATCCTCGTGGCGGCTTCTGGGTAGCCATGGAACAAAGATGGTCCCCGTATCGCGCGCTTTCAGATGCGCTTCTGCAGCCCGTCTGGAACGCTCTCCCGATATTAGGAGGCCACTGGAGCTGTGCACTTTAAAATCTAGACTGAAAACTATTTTGTTTAGAGCTGCTTTTTGTGTTTAGTTTGTTGTCCTTCCCCCACACACCTCCGATTACCATGGTCGGCTATGTAAATTGCGAAAGAAGTTCTACGTACGTACATATACGTACATACAAACGTCTATGTCAGTGGTGGGCAACCTGCTGTCCGCGTGCCGCATGCTTCCCGTGGGGCCCAATGTGGTAGCCTGGTCTCGGTGTGATACGTGTGGAGCCATGGTGAGTCCACAAGCGCGATGTGAAGCTTGCACTCACGCGGCCCTCCGACTAGCCTAGGTGACCCATCACTGATCTGTACATATGTATGTATGTTGAACTTTTTTCTCGTTGTACGTGGCCAACCGTGCTAACCGTAGGTGCGGGGGTGGGGGAAAGGACAACATGACCCATAATGCCATACAGTATAATGCCATACAGATTAGCACGGTTGGCTACATACGGTGCGATAAAAGTTCAACATGTATACACAGATGCGTATACAACCCAGAGTCGGTGGTGGAAATTCCACAATCCTATGACGAGGCAGCCCACTGAATATACTGCCGAAGTGTGAGCCAACTATATATTTGCATCGCTACCTTGTAACAGAAACGCATTCTTATACAAAACCGTACGTAGCCAACTGTGCCAATCGGAGGTGCGATTAGCACGGTTGCTACGTTGTGGGTGGAGAGGGCGGTGGGGGGGGGAGTGTGGAGGTGTGGAGTGAAGAGATGGAGTATTTAACATTTAAAAGTATCGAAACCATCTGCTGCTCCTGAGGTTTATGGAAAGACCGTCCCATAATGATGGAGCCAGACATCAAGAGGAACGCCAGCCCGCCCGTCCAATGTCAATACCAGCGCCGGGTGTGACTGAGGTGGCTGAGCCTGCATGGTCTTGAATCCATTTGAGCCGCTCTTGTGCGGTGCCAAACTGAATAAGCCGCTCGCCATCCACAGCACTTGCTCTGACAGTTTACAAGGCGAGACAGGATCGCTGCTGTCTTTGGGCAAAGTGCTGTCTCTGGGCAAAGTGCTGTCTCTGCGGCAGTGGCCACGGTGAGTCTTAACCTGCTTTTATTGGCCCATTTATGAATGCTGACCCGTAAGCCCGGAGTTACTCAACCCTCTACGTATGTTTTAATTTATTGTGAAAAAAGCAAGGATTTTATTTTTCCTGCGGGTTTGTGTGTGCGTGTGTCGTTGTATATATGTGTGTGTGTGTGTATTTGTAAAGACAGAAACCACCGTATAGCCTTAAGAGACTGTTGGGGCAAGTGATGTTAGGAAGCACCTATGAAGGCCGGTACGGCACACGAGGGAGTGGGTGGCTAGCACCGAGCCCGGCCACCTTTGTCTCTCTAGTGGCCTTAATTTAAGGCTGAGTCGACCTTGGGGAGGCCCAGAACCAGTTCAGATAATTGTCACCGTTTTTGGTCGTGAGCGGGAATCCAACTCTGTTTGCCGGCTCCTCACTTGTGTACAGACACACTTGTGTTGACGGAATGCGTGTCGTATGATCTGACGGACGTACACATGCGCACACATGCACACGCATGACATGGGCGTGTGCAGCTGAGAAGCATCGCCCCCTCGGGGGAAGGCTGGGAACCGTGTGACCTGTGGCCGTGTTTGCTTTTCTGAAATTCCCACGTTCCCTCCGTACAATGCGGGTTCCCGACGACGCCCTCCGCGCGGAATCGCCAGCACTGCCGCATCTCTCCCACCCACTCTACTGCTGCTGCTTCTCCTCCTCCACCTCCTGCTCCCACTCGGCGTGCTCCCAGCAGCACAGCTGCGTCGCTTCGCCGCTACGAACCCAGCGTATCCCCGCTTGGGTCGGCCGCGGTGTAGCGGTGCAAATGAAATTGACGTGCGATATTCACTCGTTCGTTTGGGGTTCTGTCCGTAGACAGGCGTGTGGCCCGTGTATTGAAGTTTGCTGAACCAGGTGAGAACTCGAGAGGCCAGGATGAGTCTGATTTACAAGTGTTAACTGACCTGGGTTACCACAGTAACTAAAGCAATGATATAAAAACAAGTACAACAACGAGGCAAATTGAAATCGGAGCAAAAAAAGCAACTGCCCATTTTCCCCGTTCACGATGCTCTGCATTCCACTGCTCTCTCCGTCTGTCGCTTACGTCGTTCCTCATCAAACGTCGTCTGGCGTCGCCGTTTCTTTTCCTTCCCCTTGGTCTCGTCGGAAATAATCTTCTCTCGATCACTTTCAGTAAAACGTTCCCTCTCACTACCGCTCGCTCAGTCACCTCCTTCAGCAAACCGTTCCCTGTATGTATGCATGTTGAACTTCTTTCACACCGTGCATAGCCATCTGTGCTAATTGGAAGTTCCCTGTCGTGCCATTCCAGAACTGCGATGATTGTATCGCCCGTTTTGTGAGAATATCATTGCCTCATTACATTTTTCATAAAAAAATTTTTATGGTTATTTCTTGACTAAATATGAAAAGCATAATCTCACTATCCAAAGTTATAAATATTTAGCAATTATCTATAACAGTGTTTTGTTAAATGTTTTCCGGACTAACTAAGTGCAGGGAAATAAAAAAAGCATTATAATTTTCGTAATTGTAATTATTTATTCCTCGCATACCTGACAGAATACACGTGCTATAAGGCGGCGGTTCTAAGACTCGCGGCAGAATTCTTTCCTGTGTACTCCAGTTTATAAGGTTGAATGTTCACCCGTTACTGGAAGTCCAGCAATACACAAACGATACGAAAAACGTTTCGAACACGTTTACAAGGAAATATCATGAACATACGATGTCAACGGTATTGAACAAACATCCCAATGCTTAAAGTGTGCTTTCACATGCCTCAATTGGGATCGCACACAGCAGCAGTATTGTCCAGCGACTGTGACAACTTGGCAGGACCCTCCTGAAACAGAGTCTTGAGACTCTGTGAGGCTTTCCTGGCTAAACAGGCGTAGTAGTAGGTTTAACACGTAGGCTTTCGCGACCAATATTATCCATAATAGAGGTTTTTGGGTTCGATCGCATGAATATAAATATGTCGTTAAGAGCCAAACGGGAGGATTTCTCCACAACTCTGGCTGTCGCCTGATGATGCTCGTTAAAATTACTGGTGAAACGTTGTACTCTGGTTTACTCTCCAACACACCGGTGTGCCTGTACTAGTAATTACGTGACAAACCTTACTAATTGGCTCGTAGCGGGTTTAACGACACTGTTATATTTACGCGATCTAACCCAAAAACCACCTATGGGTAGTAGTAGTAGTAATAAAAATGTGTCGCGCCTGTTGCAATAAACTGTTGCTGCATTATAAAATATGGGCGCTTGAGGCTGTTTGATAAGCTCGGCAAGCGCGGACTATGCAGAAGTTTCCAAATATTTTTTGTTTAATGCGCATTACGAAAATATGTACCCGTGCGTGGCACTGTACACTCACTCCCCAGACATTCCCACACTTTCCCGCAAAACAGTCGTGATATTTTCTGCGTTATTTTCAATGTTATTTTTTTTCAGCGTGTGTGTTTATACAGTGTGGTGAGCGGTAGTGTAGCGGTTCACGCGCTGCGCTACGAATCCGGCTACCCGAGTTCAATTCCCGCGCACGGCCACCAACGCCAGCGACAAATATCTGAGCCGGTTCTGGGCCTCCCCTAGGTCACCTCGGCCTCAAAACGAGTACCTGATGCAGTGTGTAAACATTGCCACGAGGGAGACATATGCGGCCGGGCGTGGTGTTGGCCACCCTCTTGTGCCGTGCCGGCCTTCATAGACGCTTTGATCAATGATTTAAACATACGAATGGGTGTGTAAAATAAGATGACAAGTGGGAGTGCTCTCTGTTAATATCTTTCTCTCAAGGATGTAAAGAGTTACACCGACACTTTGGTGCGAGTTAAATCAAAAAACGAGAATAATAAAGTAACGTATAAACGGGACGTATTATACGTCGTTTATATGAATTATGTAAATTTACAGCCTTTTGTCAATCCACTGCTGGCTGAAGGCATCCCCCCCACTCTGTCAACCATGTGGGGAAGGGCTGTGGAGGTGGGGGGCATTTGACCATACTTCACCACGTTTGATCGGTACAGGTTGGTAAAGGGGGGCCCAAGACTGAATCGTCAGACATCACTCGCCACCGTTAACTGGGGCCGGGGAATCGAACTTGGGTCGCCGGGTTCATGACACAGTGCGACAACCACCGCACCACCACCACTTCGCCCCTTGTCATGAATTATATTATTATTTACTTACCTGGGATAGACCCCCCCCCATCTGGACGTATTGGCCCTGTGCCTTTCAGTCACTTTGGGGACTCTCGGTACGGATTCAGATATCACTTGTTGCGAATGTTTGCCGAGAAAAAAAAAACACTTTGACATTCACTTCATCTCGGGATTTATAGTGGAGCGGGGGTGTGGGAGAGATTGGGGGTAGTGGGGGTTGGTGAGAAGTGGCGTTGGGAGAGGGGGGCAGGGTTTTTGGGGGGGAGGGGGGATGCGTGGGGGGGGGGGCAAAGGGGGCGGGGGGGTCTGGTTTGAGGCCCGCGATGCACCGCGCACGCTCCGCTCTTGACTCCGTGGCGCCAGGGCAGGGGGATGCGTTCCGCGCCGTTTGCCTCCGAAAATATTGCCTCAAAATTGTTCGGTCAATCGAAGATGTACATTTCTTTTTTTCCTAAGCGAAATAACACCGGGCAAGTTAAGTGCTTGGCGGGTTTATTTACATCCCGTTTCGGGCGCCTGACGAGAGTTGGTATTTGTTGTTTTTGCGCGGCGTTGCAATTTATGAATTTTGATATTCTCGATAGGCGTGGGTATTTCACGAGGGAAATGTACGGGAGGACGGCGACTGATAAGTTGCGCAAAAGAAGCGCGGAGAGACGCGCGCTTGGAATCGCGCCGAGGAGACAGGAGGACGAACACGTGGGTCGGAGAGAGACATACGCTGGCTAATGACATAATTCACACTGGTGGGTTTGGGTGGGACGCGCTGCGGCGATGGCCGATGGGCAAGAACCAGAATAACGGAGCGACAGCCAGGGAACGGAACGCGTTCGAAAGGGCATCTTCCCTAGGAGATGGAGCGACGAAATTGGTTTGCGTGGAGGGGTGCTGGGTGGATTGTTAGGTCGCAGGATCGTGGGAGGTGGTGGCGGTGGCTTGGGGTGGCCTTCATCCAGCAGTGGATTGACAGTTGCTGAAGATGATACATTTTTGTAAACATTGTGTGTGCTAATAATGTAAAGTTGGGTTAAAGCTTTGTTATTCACTGTTTACAATGCGGGTAGGCAAGTAGGCAAGTGGTGAGGTAGGTATGTTGATTGGTAAGTAGGCAGTCAAGCAGTTGTGTAGGTAGGTAAGAGCTGAGGTGGCTAGATATGTAAACACGTGGTTATGTGAGTAATATTATAGTTACATGTCGTGGATATATGGGTGGTAGGTATGTATGTGGGTAGGTCGATAAGTAGGCGATGGATAGGGTAAGTACGTTGGTATGTGGGTAGTTAGGTATATTGATAAACAGATAGGTATGTGGGTAGATCAGGTATGTGGATAGATGTGTAGGTAGGTCGGCATGATGCCTGCATGACAAGGGAGTCAAATGTGAAATGACAAGTGGACAAACACATGGAACAACGATGCACTGCTATGAAAGATGCACCCACGGGTTTCACATTCAGGGCATCGTTGTCTATTGAGCTCAACCCAAGCCAACAACCAAGCCCTGACCTTTCTACCAAAACCACTCACCCCTCTACCCTCCCCTCCTCCCAATACCTCCTCCTTCCACTCATTCATCTACCTCCTTATTCCACTCACTCACCCACCCCTCTACCAGCCCCCCCTCCTTACACTCATCAAATTTTCCTCCTTCCCACAACAACACCCATGACTCCCCTGACCCTCTGCGACCGGCCGCCCTTCCGCTCCCCTGTCCAATGTCCAATCCCACAGCCGTTCAGTTCTCTTCCCCAGGAGAGAATGGGGGTGGGGGTTGTGCGGTGGGGGGGGGGCGCTGTGGGGTGGGGGTGTTCTTTATTTTTATCGTTAACGTACCAGCGTTGCTCGGGGAGGTTTGGGAACGTTCGGCGGCTCTGTAGGGCGCATGTGGGAACGTGGGAGCGTGGAGCGCGGGAGCGTGCGCCGCCGCCACCGCCGCCGGGTTATTTTTGCGGAGGCGGTTGGCAGTTTGCGTTCGCGTCACGCCGATAGCGGCGGTCGATTTGTCGGTGCGCCCCGCTGACCCTGTGCCCATTCTGCCGATCCGGCGGTTGAAGTCCTAGCGGTGTGCGTGGTATGCAGCGCTGTGGTTCGGCGGTTGGGCGAGCAGCTCTCAATCGTAAATGTTGTGAGTTTAATTCCTGGTCAGGGGTGGGGGGGTGAGTTGGCTTGTCCTCTCCTTCCGGGGTTGATAACATTATTACCGCTTTATGGGGAAGCGAACGATGGTTGTGCTCGGAGCAGACTTTGCCTCCCCCCCCCCCCCCCTGCCATAGACATGTGGAACTTCCACCACTGGCCCAAGGCTGCAAATGCAACCACGGGAACCACCTCAGTGCTCATTAGAGCAGGAAATCACTTCGACTTTTGAGTGGCTAAATAGATAGACCTTTGTTAATTGGCTTCAGAAGTAGTTCTGTGATCTCATCTTCTGTGGCCCACTCCACAGCACGTCGAGGTGCACTCTTAGCTGCAAGCATCCCACACCGTGCACGTCTCTTCGTCCCATCGCGTTGAGAATGTAATCGGTGCGAGCAAGAAAGTGTGGCAGAAATATTTTATTGCAAAAGCCTTCTTTTGCCAGGAAGTGGTTGTTATGGAAGCCATGTCATCCTGACAAATTATCAGACGTTGCATATTTCATAACTCCCACCGCAATGACCCCCCCGCCCACCGTATAGCCTTAACAGACTGTTGGGGCAAGTTCTGTTAGCGAGCAACACCTATGAAGGACGGCACAGCACACGATGGGGCGGTGTAGCCAGCACCACGTCCGAGCCGCCTTTGTCTCCCCAGTGGTGATGTTTACACACCGCAGCGGGTGCTCATTTCAGACAGAGTCAACCTAGTGGAGGCCCGGACACAAGATACGAGACGCTGCTCGGGGCAGCGATCGCGTTCGCCTCTCATTACAGAGGTACACAGTTCGGTTCCACAGGCCACCCTGATTAATACGATAACAACTAACAATAATAACAAAGATCCTCTGGCACAATTCGCAAGAGTGGGCGATCCTGTGCCGGCGGCGTCGGGGTTAAAATTTGCCAAGTTAAAAATTACACCGTAAATGACCAAATCAGGGTCACACACAGCAACAATCATTGCCACCCCCCCCCCCCCCCCCCTTACTGGCTGGCAGACGAACGCCCCCAGTTCACGTTTGCAAACGAGACTCCGGGTCGGTCTCTCTCGTGCTCTCAGCTGGTGGTCAAACAGAATCGACGTGGAACATGGTTGGCATAGAGAAGAGCGTTCATTTCTTTTTTCCCACCTCTCGCCATTTCTGTCCCCTGCCCCCAGCTGCTGCAGCTGATCGCGGACACGCAGCTGACGTCGCTGAGCGGGGTGGCTCAGACCAACTACTTCAGCATCCTGGAGAGAGTTGTCTGCAAAGGTGCTTCACTCGGCGGTGGCGGCAGCAGCACTCGCGCACACAAACACTAAGACAAAGATAGATTCCCCCCCCCCCCCCCCCATATAGTCTGTAACAGACTGTTGGGGCAAGTGCTGTTCGTTGAGCACCTATGAAGGCCGGCCAATGTAACACATGAGCGCACACACACACATACAGGCTCGCGCCATCACGCGGGAGTGCATGCGCATGTGTATGAGAGAGTGTGTGAGAGTGTGCTGTGTGTTATGGGGAGCGGTAGTGTAGCGGTTAGCGCGCTGCACTATGAACCTGGCGACCAGAGTTCGATTCCTGCTCACGGCCAACACCAGTGACGATTATCTGAACCGGTCCTGGGCCTCCCCTAGTTCGACTCGGACTCAAATGAGTACCTGGTGCGATGTGCAAACGTTTCCACTAGCACGGTTTGCTACGTGCGAAAGAAGTTCAACATGCATACATAAAAAAGGTGGCCGTGCGTGCCTGTGGTGCTGGCCACCAACCCCCTCATGTGCCGCGCTGGCCGGCGTAGGTAATGCTGGCTAACAACACTTTCCTCATTGGCGTCCCGTTCATTTGAAAATTAAGGTCCAGGAATTGCCGTTCGACCGAAATTGGAGTCTGCAGACGACTCTTGCGCCGATGATCCCGTCAATAGGTGCCGCTCGCCAACGGCACTTGCCGCAAAAAGCCCCCGCAAAAAGGCTGCACGGTGGATCTTTGTCTTTGTGCGCGGCAGTGGTGGATGACCAGCACAGCATGCGCCCGATCCGCGAGCTGCTCTCCGGCCTGTGTTCGTCGGTGGCGCGCCTCGTGTGCGGCGTGGGCAAGTCGCCTCTCGTGGGCAACGTGAACACCTGGACCCGCCGCCTCGACACCATCCTGCTGTGGCAGCGTCTGCTGTGCGGCCTGCAGATCAGCCGCGTGCGTTCACACCGCCGACGCCGCCGCCCACGTGTCTGTTAAATCGTCTCGGTTGAAAACTCGCTTCTTTCTTTAGGACTCCTTTTGTTGCGTTTAGTTTGTTGACCTTGGCCCACGCGCACAATTAGCACTGTTGGGTACGTACGGTGCAAAGGAAGTTCAACATACATGCACACTACTACTATACACTACACTATACACTACACTATACACTACACTATACACTACTATACACTACCCTACTATACTAAATTGAAAACTTATTTCTTTAACTGCTTCTTGTATTCTTGAGTCTTACGCAAGCGGTCGTCTTCAGAAAAGGTTTTTTCTGAAGACGACCACTTGCGTTGCGATCGAAACGTCGTAGTTTTCTGTTATTTTTTATTATTTTCTTTGAACCTATCTACGCGACTTTACCGAAACACCCAAAAATATGAATTCCTGCAGTCACAAGATTTAACTGCTTGTTATGTTTAGTTTGTTGTCCTTACCCCGCACCTCCGATTACCACAGTTGGCTACGTACTGTGCGAAAGAAGTTCAACCTACGTACGTACATAATTATCGCGCGCATCTATGCCGCCAACGAGCGGCGAGCCCGCCCCGAGATTCAAACTGCGGAGTGACCTGCCCATGCCTATCCGTAGTATGATTTTGAAGGCACGTGCTGGGGCTGTTGTAAATGATGGAGCAGATAAGCGGCCGAGTTATCGGCTCGGAAGGCAGCACTTGTCGTGATTTCAAGAGCTCGTAAGCGATTGGCACCTAATTAATTAAAGTCGGTGGCGCGATCTTAGAGTTCTACGGACAAACATAAAAACAACAAATGTGCATACAGATTCCCTACTTATAATTGTAGTTCCTCCATGCAAATTCACCTTGCCAATGCTTGGCGTGTGGCGGCCATTAGCGGTCCCGTTCATTTAAAATGGGAGCCCTAGGATTTGCCATTCAAACGAATGGGAATCTACGAACAACTCTTGGGCCGCTGATACCATCCATTCATCCGTTTGGAAGAATGGTATTAACGGTCTGGCACGTTGCTGCTCAGAGGCACCAGTGGAAAAAGGGGCATTCGTTCTCTTAGCCACCCAGAATCGCGCATCGTTGGGAACACCGGCGTCGCAGCGGTCCGACCCTCTCCGCTCCTCCCCGCCTCTCTCTCTCGCCCCCCACTTCTCCGTGCCGGAACCAGAGAGGCGACGAGGGGCTGACGCTGAGCGACCTCCCGCCACACACGCAGCTCTCCATCCTGCAGCGCCTGGACGACGGGCGAGACATCGTGAGCCTGGGCCGCGTCACCGCCACGCTGCACTCGCTGAGCGAGGACCGCATGCTCTGGCGCACGCTCTGCCGATACCACTTCACCGACAAGCAGGTACGGGCGGCGCAGCCTGCCTCCTTCTTTCGATGTACGTGTGTACGTATGTTGAACTTCTTTCGCACCGTACGTAGCCAACCATGCTAATCGGAGGTGCGGGGGAAGAACAACAAACAAAAAAGTGTTCTTTAGAGTAAGTTTTCAATCTAGATTTCAAAGTGTATAGCTCCAGTGGCTTCCTAATATTGGGAGGAAGAGCATTTCCAGATGGCCGCCTAAGTGTGTCCGAATGCGCGCATTGCAGTGACCGTCTTTGTTCGATGGCCAGCCAAAAGCCGTCTTTCTTTCCCTCTTCCGTCGGCCGTCGCGGCATGCTCAGAGAACTTAGCTCTTCAGCTTGTTTAAGGCTACACAAGTGGTGGGTCTTTTGTGTTTGTCTTATACGTGTGTGTGTGTGTTATGTGTGCTGTAGGACCGGTTGTGTCGTGGTAAGCACGCTGCGTTACCAACCCTGCTCACTGCCAACGCCAGTGACAATAATCTGAACTCGTCCTAGGCCTCCTCTAGGTCGACTCAGCCTCAAATGAGTATCTGGTGCGGTGTGTAAACATTGGTCCTCGGGAAACAAAGGCAGCCGGGTATGGTGCTGGCCACCCACCCTCTCGAGTGCCGTCCCAGGCCTTCATAGATGCCACTCGCTTAACAGCACTTGCTCCTACAGTCTGTTAAGGCTACACGGGAGGGGACGTTTATCCTCATTTGCGTGCGCGTGGTTGCGGCTGTTGCGACTGACTGGCAGTTCTGCCGGCATCTGGTGGTGCGCGAGGGCGGCTCGGCCGACTGGAAGGCGACGTACTTCACCCTGCAGAAGCTGTACCCGCGGCGCGAGCAGTACGCCGACAGCCTTCAGTTCTGCCGCCACTGCAGCATTCTCTTCTGGAAGGTACCGGCGCGGTGGTCGGCAGCGCGAGCCTGTGGCCAGGCCTAGCAGGGGCGCCGTTCACAGCCCCTGCTATTTGTGCATGGGGTAGCTGCCGTTTTCTATAGAAGTTCACATTTTATTTAGCGAACGCTTTTACATGTGATTTTTACACAGAGCACTAGATACGCAAGAAAAATAATTCGTGAACAAGTACGTTTCCAGTGTTCTCTTGTGAGTGGACGTCAGCCCCTGTAGCCACACGGCCATGTGACGGCCTCCTCCTCTCAGCACGTGAATATATCGGACCTTGACGTGCGCTAATATGTAATGTAATAAGAAAAAAATGTGTTATTGCAACTCAACGCGAGCCCGGTACAGTACGCTGATAGCAGAATAGGGCAGGGAGAAGTGGGGAGCAGGAACTCCGAGAACAGCAGCCCGAGGAGTTTGGGGGTGACAGGGCCCTGTGAAGGGGGGAGAATTGGGCCACGTGCAGGCGACCATGAAGATTTACATGGGAAAGGGGAAAGGGGTAAGGGTGAACGGTGAGCTCGAATGATCCTTGCGTATTGCACTGCGATCTGCATTCTCAAAGCGTCTATTTTTTGACAGCGCGACCGTATTTGCAGACGCGAATGCGCCCACGCAAAGAGTTTTTTCGAATCGGTTTGGGGAATGGTGGGTAGAATTCCACTGACCAGGGAGCGAATTGAGATGACATTTATGGCGTCAGTGCGAGTGAAGTCACGTTACGGATGTGAGAATAGGGATGGAACGCCATCCCTATTCTCTCACATCCATAACGATTGATCATTTTCTTCGTTCATTTAACCACCGAGTCTCCCTGGAACCACGCAACGCCATCTGACACTTGACGTCGGCTCCGCATCTCAGAATTGTGTCTTAGGTCCGCAACATTGTGCAGGCAATAAATTGCATTATTATTATTAGGGAGAGATGGAGTCGGCCGTAGACAGGGGAGAAAAGGAAAGTCTGGAGTTTTGAACGGTGGAGGTGTCTCGACAGTGGAGATGGCGAGAGCAAGGGAACTCGTATGCAGTGCTTTTTGTATATTTAAAGCGTAGGTTTTGTGCGGGACGTAGTATGCGATTCGTAATTGACACTTGGGTTAGGCCACGTAACGATCTGGCCAATTTCTGTGGCGTAAGTCCCTCTCATCAACTGACACAGCCAAACAAACTAAATTGTCCCATGGTGTACACGCATTTGACGATGAGCCAATTATTGTTTCTGAAGTTCGCCGGGATGGTGAAGACTAAATGTAACGAGTAAAGTTATCGATTAGATGGTTGTGAGAATAGCCCTTCAACTTACCGGCGAACTCAAACAATGACCATTTGGCACGTTGTTAAACGCATGCACACGCGACAATTTAATTTGTTTGGCTGTGTCGGGAGGTGCAGGATCTTCCTAACGACTTTCCATAAATGACGAGACAACCCCTCGCAGCAGAGCACTGCGCATGCAACGTGCAACGGGAATTATAGACAGCGGAAGCAGCAGCAGGGCAGGGGTGATCTCCCACCGAGCAAAGGCCGACTGAGGTTGACCGACGGAAGACCTTTGGTCACAAATGCAATCGTGGATATATCCTCGCCTCATGATCCTTTTTGAAATGCAAGCCACTAATGCCCGTCTCTCCTCCCCTCGGCGCTTCACAGGACTATCCCCTGGCTGTCGTGTGGGAGGTACAATGTTGTCCTTTCTCCCTTACGATCATTTCACCCGTTGCTGTTCAATATGGAGACAGGTCGTCTCCGTGTGTTAGCATCATCACTTTCTATTTTGAATTTCACATCATTACTTTTTTCGCCTCCACGTCTTTTTCTCATCGGATCTTAAAGACACCGGTGTATTTGTGCCGCGCATCCATTCCGTTGTTGGGACACCACAGTGCACACCACCCAGCCCTGCCCTTTTGCCGGACTCCATGGTGCTTTTAATAGGCAACGAAGACGAAATAAACCGCCCCCCCCCACCCCCAAAAACAAAAAACTCTTCCAAAATACGGGGGGGGGCGGGGTTTGTTAGATCGCGTAAATATATAAATGTGTCGATAAATATTTAAATGTGTCTAACCCCCCAAAAATCCAGCATCATGGATATTGGTCGCGAAAGCCTCCTACGTGTTAAACAAACAACTCTTATTCAAGATCGTCATAGACAGCGAATGCTCGCGTGCACTCCAGAAACAGACAGACAGACGGGGCCGGTTTCAGTCCCCCCACCGTGCCGGTGTGACCAGTGTCGCCAGACCTTTAGAAGTGTTCGTCTAGGGGTGGAGACGAGATTGCAGGTCGCTCGTCTCCTGTGCAGCAGTCATGGGATCTGGTGCACCGCGTTGGTGTGCCCTGTGCGGTGACAGCCGTGTCTACGATAGCTTCCTGATCTTGAGTTTGAGAAACACGCCCAACTTGCCTGCAGGAACCGCTGATTAAAAGCCTGCATGTGGTTTTATCACTCAGCACCAAACGTGGCTAATGCCACACCACGCGCGATAGAGGTGGCTCGTATCTTGAAGCAACACACGTAGGCTCTGTGTGCATCGGGAGTGTCCGACTTAAAAGTTGGCAGCCCCGGTAATGAGAGGACTCTTAAAGTGACTTTCACGCACTCTCAAGTGATGTTAGTTTGCTGTCGAATGGGGTACCACTTAATACACCAATGCGGTGACCGTATTACAGTGCACGTGAAAGTCGCTTGCAAGTCACGGGCACGGCACTCGTGGCCTGCCTGCAATGCACATTTTTTACGACGGTTGCCGAGCACAGGGCCCAAAAGGCCCAGATCGCCAAACGGGACCGCAACCGACAGTACAATTAAAGTTGCATCTGCAACATAGGAGCCGTTTCCTTTTTTTCGTCCTTGTCACGCGCAGTCTGATTTACCCCCCGTCGCCGTCGCGTGTCACGCGTCCATCGCCAAGTTACATGTGCTTACCAATGCATGCGTCACTCACCGCCTCACAACACCCCTTTTCCACTGGCTCAGCCAAGCCGTGCCAGGGCCATGTTGAGCCAGGCTGGTTCGGGTCAGGGGGGTGACGGGGTTGTTTTTCCACCGCACAAAACGATAACCGATCCATTCTGGTGATGTTACACACAAAATGCGAGTGACGTCAAGAAGGTCGGAAATGGGCAACCCTAGACTAGTCAGTTGCCACATGAGTGGCCCTCCATCAACTCAGTGGGCCGCAAGCTTGACATTGTCCTTGTGCACTCATCATGACCTCGCGCATCAACCTTAGACACTCTTAGACCAGGCCACCACGATGGGCCTGGTTGCCCACCACCTGCGGCCCGCAGGTTGCCCACCAATGACATAGATGATGCGTCGATGCTGTGTTCGACTTGTACTGACCGACCCTGGCCCTGCTTGGCCCCAGAGTCAGATTCTGATGTTTTGCGAGGCCAGTGCATCACGGTTTGGTTCTGACACGGCTCGGTAAACAGGCAGTGGAAAAACACCTGTGCCGTACTGGCCCTGTGTGCTGGCTGAGCTCGAATGTGCAAGTGGAAAAGCGGTGATAAAATCCGCGAACATAGAAATTTCTTTGCAGCAGAGAATGTCATGGATATTGGATGTCTGTCTTTCCTCTTCCTTTGTCGTTCGATGACAAATAATAATTTTCAGCCTTTTGTCAATCCACTGCTGGATAAAAGCCTCACCACGCCATGTCGGTAATTGTGGTTGATCGACCGTACTTGACCACGCTGGTCAGTGCGGGTTGGTGAAGGGGGTCACCCAGGAACCAGTTAAGATTTAACTTTCCACCGTCAGCTCACCGGGTTCATGCCATCGCTTCTCACCACCCCCCACACCCCATCATGAGTATAATTCTTGCTTATTTAACCGGAATAAACCCAGCCTCTGTCCTTCATAGCCCTGTGCCTCCCCGTCACTTGGGGGGGACACAATAATTGGACAGCAGTGTTATTGTTATTCCTGCAATTTGGCTGTCGGCTCCGGTTGCGCAAAGCGAGGGATCATCCCGACGCGTCACCTCATGTGCCGCCGCGTGTCTCGGCACAGACCGGCACGTGGGAACCTGTCCGTGCGGTAGCCGCCAGATCTGCTTCTTGTCTCACAAAACGCTCAATAACATTGCAGACCGTTGTTGCAGCGTGATGAAATGTGTTTCTGACGTGGGGTTGTTTTTTTAAATCAATATATATATTTTTCATAGTTCTCCATTTGTTCTATTGGTGTCACGAGACAAAGTATCCACTCGGGTCTGTCGCAGAGCAGGGCAACCTCTGCGTTTTGGACAATGGCCTGTGGAAGCAGATATCACAGAGCCACTGCTGAGAACCCTTCATTAAGTGACCTCTGGTCCACACACAGCAGCAGGTAGCACTTTCCCACTCGCTCTACATATGACAGTAAATGTTGATCGCATGGCAGTCAAACCAATATTTGTATTCTGAGAGGTTGAATTTAGGTGACTGGGCTGAGATTACTATAGTTGTGAACCCAGGTTAATCACAGGCAGTTGCCTGGAATCGAACCCAGGTCCTCAGCAGTGTCAGATCAGCGCCCTTGACCTCTGAGCTACCCGGCCACCTCAGGTGCTGTTTTAATTTTAAAGAGACTTGGGCAGCCATTTTATGGGCAGCCATTTTTGAGTGGCTGGTCTCAACCTAGTTACTGATTATTATGCAAACACTGATTTATTAAATTTGATAGATGTTTATGGGGGCATTTTTGTAAAAAAAATTATCAGAATGTTTTTAACTTTGCTTTGTCTAGAAAAGGAACACTGCTTTCAAGGCATATAAATGGTACCGTGAGGTATTGAAGTGACATCAGAAGTAGTTTTGTGACTTAATTTTCCTCGAGTCGTTCTCTGACACAGGATGGTGCACTGCTCACTGCAATAACTCCGAAAAGAATAAAAGTTTGGGTACAAGTGCCATGCGATGAGCATCTCTATAGCGGAATGCGTGGGAAAAGCACAAGCCCCCCTTAAGTGCGGATGAGAGACCCACTTGGATGGATCTTGAAAATAGTTCTGTAAAATCTGCTTCTGCGGGCCATATTCTAGCACATGGAGTGATGCACTCCTTCGCCAGTGTTCCAAATTGGCACTTTATCTCACGAAGTTGTTCATATTACACTCGATTACCCACGAAAGCCTCGGTGCATCTCAAGGCTTCTTCAGGAGGGGTCCTGCTAAGTTTTTGCAGTAGCGGCGTGACGATGACCCCCATGTGTTTTCCCAATTGAGTAATTAGCTATGTCATCTCTACATTTTCGACAGTGGCGCCGGCAAACAATCGCTCACTCCACTTCGAATGGCATCGCTGGGTCTTAAACATCAACGACATAGCAGGCGGTCGTGCTTGTTGATAGTCAATAGGCCTGCAGTATTAACCAGGGGCGGTCTTCTGGATTGGAACCACGAACCTCTGCCACTAGTGCCATCACAATCTAAATATGAAGGCATGGGGGGGGTGGTGGAGAAATATTTGGAACGCACAATTTTGAAATGCTCCTCCACTGCGCGTGCGCGTGTTTTTACAGGACACCGGACACCCGTGTTCTGCCAACGACCCCGAAACCTCCTTCATCTCCGTGTCGCCGCAGGACTTCATGAAGCTCTTCCGATACTAGCGGGCTGCAGGGCACTCCGCGGCACACACGCGCTTGGCCAACCAAGCACGTGTCGCCACACAGTCACAGACGCGCGCACCAACTCGAACTAACATTTGTACACATACAGAGACAAAGACACCCACCCCTCCTCCGCCCCACCCGTACAGCGTAGACTGTTGGGCCAAATGCTGTGAGCGAGCACCTATGCAGGCCACGTACCCACACCCTTATGCATACATACTTTGGCGAGCTTGCACAAAGACAAAAATGCCCCCATACCGCTCTGACAGACTGTTAGGATCAGTGCTGTGAGCGAGCACCTATGAAGGGCGACACGGCGCACGAGGGGGTGGGTGGCCAGCACCACGCCCAACCGCCTTGGTCTCCCTAGTGATGTTTTCACACCGCACCAGGTACTCATTTGAGGCTGGGTCGACCTAGGGGAGGCCCAGGGCCGGTTCAGATAATCGTCACTGGTGTCGACCGTGAGTGGGAATCGAACTTGGGTCATCGGGTTTGTAGCGCAGTGTGCTAACCGCTACACCACCGCTCCCCACACCAGTACACACACACACATACGCGCGTTCGCTAGCATTGGCAGCACCAACACATTACAATTTGGGGGGCTATGGTGGGAGGCTGGGGGGCAGGGGCGGGCGGCATAACACGTATGCTAACTAGTATTGCACACGTGGTTATATGCTTCGCAGTTTCATATGACTTTGTACATTGCCCCTAAAACACGGGGTCTTATACGGTGTCACTTTGTTTTGAGGACAGAATCATTGACATATTGCTTGCAAACTCCAACACAGGCGTTCGGATTCGTGGCCAGTCGGTGGCTTTAATTTTTTTTCACCGATTAAGTTCTACAGCACTGGTAGGCTGGCTTGGAGTCGGAACAGTCGGTGTTAGTCACTACCGCTAGAGTTACAGGTTTCCCTCGCTTTGTGCGGTAGCAGATGCATTCCAAAAAAAAATGGGCACAGAAAGCAAAACTGCACGAGGGGATGGCTTTCCTGCGGCGATACGTCCGACCGTATAGTCGCGTATGCTTAAATTAAAACCACGTATAACGAATTTTGGGTAGAAATAGGTTGGCCGCATGTACAGCGCAAAATCGCACAAACCGAACCCGCATCGAGCAAGGGAAACCTGTACATGGTACACTTAGCCAACACATTCCTTCGGAGTGGGCAGGTAGGAACTTGATTGGACAGCGCATTCGTGCGATACGTGTCACGCGGCGCAAGCTGCGTGGGGCGGCGCGTCACGTGGTGCTTAGCCCGCCCGAAGCGCTCTGAAATACAAATCGAGGGCGTGGCTATGCACGACAGACAGACAGACAGACAAATAATCCCTGGTGGGCAGTGTAGAACTGTTGTTCCTACCTGTACAAGTAATCTCTATTGTACCCTATAGTCCTATAATCCTATAAACAGGTTTAGGGTGTATACTACGGCGCGATGGACGTGCTCTGCTGAAAGAATTCCGGGAACGGCATTCCGGACTGCTGTGGCTGTAATCGAAACCCCTTTAGCTCGTAAACATGGACACGTGCACGCACACACACCTCGACATGCTCATCCAGTGCTATTTTTCTATCAAGTTGAAACTTTCATTTCTGGAAATAAGCTCCTTGTGTACGCACCTTGTGAAGAGGCGGCGTTACCTACGCGGGCAGTTAAAGCCCGGCCCCGTGTCTTCAGCGCACGTTCGCAGCATTTCATTCGTCACCCAAGAGGTACTTTTGTATTTTTAGTTTCGACGGTAACGCAGCTCCCGAGCAGTACGACGTGCAAAGGCTGTTCGGGGTCCATTTTTTGTTTGTTCCAGACACCTGATCGGAAGGCTTGTTCGCAGCGTGGATTTACCCACCCCGCGTTGATGGTTTCTGATTGGCCGAAACTTTCCTCCGCACCTCGGCGCTCGGTTTGTGCAACGCAATCGCCCCCCCCCCCCCCCCCCCCGCAACAGCTTTTGTCCGCGTCTGGGCGAGTAGTTGCGCAGCGAGGAAATGAACGGACGTGTGCGGCGCTGTAACCAGCCAATCGCGATTCGCGAACGCGTCGCACGGTGACGAAATGCGTCGCGACAAATCGCTGAGCAGATCGACACTTGGAGCGGGTCGAGTCCGTCTCTACTGTGAGCAACCGGTTGTGCTACTGCTCGCAACTGGTTGCACAGACGTGGATACATTTAAATTAAGCTCGGAAGACCCCGATGAACTATGGGGATCTTTTTTTTCACAGCTGCCCTGCCCAAAGCCACTCGGCAATGGCGTAACATTGCAGGGCAAGTTACACAGCTAGATACAATAAAGAATCGGAAACTTAAACAAAAGGATGATGTGTGGGAAAACAAATAATGGCAGTAACAAAATAAAATTCGACAAAGGATGCATCTCACTTGGCAAAGCCACCGTTTGTTGAATCAATCGCAGAGAGGTCCAAACACACAAGCAAGCGACTGTGAGTCCCTGAGGCTCGGACCCCAGCCCAATGCTCGCTGGGCCAGAGACGTCCACTCTCGTCCCACATCGAGCGACGCGCGTGGCGGTGGTTCCCCTGCAGCCCGATTTGTCACGGGCCGCACGAGCGTCCCCGGTGTGGATGACGCCTCCGTGCGTTTTAAGGCAACGGATGCCGTCCGTCGCTTGGCCATTTGACCTCTGGTGGCCCGTACCTTGCCATCCACCTCCTTTACATTCCCCCCCCCCCCCCAATCGGCATCTGCACGCCACGCGGTCGTTGGCCTCGCTTAAATCCGAATGGGCGAACGCTGCAAGCCAATTTGTTGGTTACGTCGATTTGCGGAATTCTATTGCGCGGTTATTTGCTAGGCATTTTGAAAAGCAATGCTGGTCGTCCGAATGCGTGCAGTCAATTGAGGTGCAAGGCCTAACGAAAAGCCCGGGCTTAAGAAACGTTGAACTATTTTTTTTATTTTAACCGATAAGGACCATCGAGATCTATAAAGCTCTTTTTCAGAAGCGACCACGCCACAAATTATAGCCCAGTGAAGTGGCTTATCCCGTGTAAATTGATAGCAACCAAATACTGTATAAAGGCATATTTCTACATGTGGAGGGAAAAACTGGAGGACCCGAAGAAAATGCATGGGACCACGGGATCGAACCCACAACCTCCTGTATATCAAGCGAGGTGGTTAACATCTCACCACCGTGGCGCTTTGTGATCGTCTAGCAGTAGGTTGACCATGGCTGATGATGGTGAGATGGCGATGTAACATTTTCTAAGGGGAACAACGAAATTTAAATGTGGATGTTAGAAATATTCAATCGGCAGACCCGGACTTTGTGTCATTGATTTATTTTGGGGACTTTAATAACGTGATGTCAGATTATGGAAAAATGCACACGGTGCTAATATTATAATTGGGGCTTAATTTATTGGTGTTTTCCAGAACGAAGCTCGGCTGGCCTGGACTATGGATTTTCGCCCTAAGGCACTACCACTAGCATACGAGGTATGCCTCTCAATAATAAGCTATTGTACCCTAAATTCGTATAATCATATCAACGTGATGATAAAAATTATGAGGATGTGGCATGCCAAAATAATTTCCGCAGACTGTTCCGGCTGAAATTAAGCGCCGATTTTCACGTTCTTCTGTATCGTAGAGATGATGAGATGCAGAGAAGTGAGCTGAGGAGGGAGTGAAGCCGTGGGATTTGACGGGAAGAGTTGAATTCCCTTTCGTTTTCCAACAAATCCTCGCCGAGTCTCGACAGCTTTTCACGAGGATCCTCCTGCTTTGGGATGTTGACCACTTGTGGGCAGTCAAGCTGCCCATCCTCCTTCCCGACGGTGAGGAGCTAAGGAGAGGCGAGACTGGTGCCCGCGATCGTGAAACATGACTTTGCTGGGCTTGGTTAATGATTCTAGATTTGAAGCTTTCGTGACTGCAAGGATTCATATTCTTAGGTTTTTGCGGTAAAGTCACGTAGGTAAAAAAAAATTAAATTAATAAAAGTAAAATAAAAATAAAATAAAAATCACGACGTTTTAGAGGCAACACAAGCTTCCGTCTTCAGGTGGAACCGTCACAGCACGATAGCTGTAAACGTCGTGATTTTTATTTTATTTTAATTTTACTTTTATTCATTAAAAAAAAATTGGTTAATGATGATGAATACGGGGGGAAAAAAGAGACGCACAATACATTTCCAAGGGGATGTTGCCGTGGTGTAACGTTCAGCACACCCGACACTTGCAATCCAGAGGTCGCCGGTTTGATTGCATTTCGAGGCGCGTCAATTTTGAAACGGGTGGAGCAAGTTTCTTAAAATCCCCACCGCCGCCTCAATCCACACAGTGTGGGCACACGAACGTCTGGCCGGCACGGAAGAGGAGGCCAAATTTCCCTCGAGGGAGCGAGGCTCTTCCGGAGCCTCCTCAAGTGGAGGCTCGTCTACCAGCAGTGGACAAAAGCAAGCGGTTGCAGTGCTGCACCTTTACTTTCTAGCTCGGTGTGTTCCTAAGTGCAAGGCCCGCGGACCACTTGCGGCCCCTGGTGGCCTTTAGTGCTCCCCCCCCCCCCCCCGACTACACAACATGTGAACACACCCCTTGCGAGCGGTGTGGGAGCCTCTCAACGCCTGATGTCTTATCGGCGAAAGTGGGCCCTCTCCCTCTGAAAATTAGTGAAGAACGCTGATCTCCAGATGTACGTTGGCGAGGTTCAAGGAGGCCAGCTCGCTGAACCCGCAAAAGCGTGCCGACGGGCGTTCGCTGCGCCGACGATGGGCGTGCTGCCACGGAAGGGGAGCGGGGGGCGGGTAGTCGTGTGTCGTGTCATCATCCCAGCGCTCAAGTGGCGGCAGCAGCAAAGCGGGGATTTTGCTCCGTACGCATTCCGGCTTGGAGCCAGCGGGCCAAAAAAATGTGTGGGGCCCTCAGCGCAAAAGAGGGGCCCTAACACGTCAGGACTTTTTGTTTTGGTCGCTAACGAGCGGCGTCGGGCAATTCGGTGAGCGTCGGGTCCCAGAACTCTGGACACCTTCCGAGCGGCGGTCAGCGGCGGTGGCAGCAGCGTGACAGACGGCCCGGGGCGCGTTATTTAAGCGACGGTTCTGCCGGAGGGCTACGCAGAAACCCGCACGCATTTCTAAGCGAGCACGAGGCACCAGGTATCCGGGTCTATTCTCAAACCTGTGCAAAGTCTCCTGCATTGACGGTCAACAATGCAGCCATACCCGGTACCAGATCTCAGTACCAGTCTATTCGTGCTGCCACACGAACACAATGCCAATTCCCGTGCCGTGTCCAGGTCAAAACCTAACAACTGGCAACCCTTTGGTTATAGTCTGCTGCTGTGTCCTGTGCTTTGTGGTAGCATTCTGCACATAACCCCTCCCGTCTCCCCCGTCCTGTGCTTAGGCTGATCGGAGAGACGCTTTTGTAAGCTTTGGTTATCTTCTATTCGATGTATGGTAATGTTATGGAGCTGTTAAACATTTATGTGTATGTACTGTATGTATTACATTCTGTATATGTTAAGCCCATATAATATATATCATGTCCTTGACCGACAATTTGCATTCCCAGTGCCTCTTGTTTTACCATGGGCAGGATAGGGTAAGCAACTTTGACGTTTGTAATAGTGTGCTGAGAAAGTGTTGCAGGTGTAGTCCGATGAGCATGGTTGGCTACATACTGGTGCGAAATAATTTTAACATACATCCAGGCAGGACCAGCTCCGATATTACTCGCCGCCGATTTTATAGCCGTGGCAATACAGTTTAAATTCGGGTCGCAGGCTTCGGTGCGCTAACCACTGCACCGCCACTCCACCCTGCAATGGAGATTGTGAAGCCTCTGCAGTCAGGGTTTCTGTGCCATATTTTGGAATCCTATGGGGCACGAAACTCCTCGGGTCACACTGGTTTGCCGTTTAAAGCTGTGACAAAGGGGGCAATTGTCACTTTAGGTACTCTTTGGTTCTTTCGGTAAAGTCACGTAGGTATAAAATAAATTAAATCGCGACGTTTCGGGCCCAACACAAGCGTCCGTCATCAGGTGGGACAACCCCAGCAAGAATAAATTCGTGAAGTGGGCAAAAGGGGCTGCTGTAACAGAAGCAATTAGCCCTTTGTCACAAGAGCAAGCAGCCCTTTTGCCCACTTCAGCAATTGTTTCTTGCTGTGGTTGTTCCACCTGATGACGGACGCTTGTGTTGCGCCCGAAACGTCGTGATTTGATTTATTTTATTTTCTACCTACGTGACTTTACCAAAAGAACCAAAGAGTATGGATCCCTGCAGTCACGAAAACTCCAAATCTAGATTGTCACTTTAGGTGTTTCATAATCCTCAGCAGCCATGGTAAAATCCGCTGCTGCTGCCACCACCTCCTGCAATCCTATGATGTTGATGATCCACCCGGCACCAGCGAATGTGTTTTTCATCACTCCATCTCCACGGTGGATGTTCTCTCGGATGCGTTCAATTCTGTTGGCCGACACTCCGTTAGTATTCCTGTCCAGGTCGGTCACCGTCCCTTTCAGCCATGACGTGTCCCACCCAAGCACTCTCGGTGTCTCCTTTACATTCTGGACAATGCCATTGAACCTGGCATGCGTTCTGTACTCCCCTTTCTGTCTCTCGGTGTGATCCAAAGGATATCTCGCGTAACAAAACAAACAAAAGAGCACACCTCCATCCACACCATCGACGTTATACGCTATTTTTACTGCACCCAGTTTTCACATTGGAAGTCACATGCCTTTCTGAATTAACAGTTGATTACACACCGGACCACGTCACGAACACCAACACAGGATGCCAGCATGCATCGTGAACACCTCGCGATGAACATCGAACATCCTTGGCTCCTGGCATGGGCAGTGCCAAAGTGGGGGGGGGGGGGTTGGGGGGAAAAGGGCTATCCCCCCCCCCCCCCCCCCACGTCGCCGGGGGGCAGCAACCCGTTGGGGCAGAACAATTAGCCTTAAACAATCATCATAAGTTATACTTCCAAAGCACCTTTTACCCGGAGATCACAAAGAGTTTGCTGATAGGGATCGCTTCTGGATGCAGCTTTACAGCTGTCAAATAGTTAAAAGCCGGAGGCAAATCCACGCGACAGAGGGAGGGAAACATGCAAACTCCAACTATACAGGTGTTGGGATCGAACCCACGACCTGTATACCACCACGGCGGCCCTAGTGGAGGAGAGCCAGGAGAATCTTCTTGTAGTCCCCGCCGCACTCGCCATCGACCCACTCTCCGAGCGGAGTCCCGTACTCGTCGTTGAACTTCTCCCGGATGGTCCCCAGGTCCACCTAAGGGCACACGACGTGGCAGCATGCAGGTGCAGTCAGCATCCCCCCCCATCCAGAATCTTGCGCTGGTGGAAATTCGCCGATAAACCGGGTTGCGCAGCGTCCAAGTGATCGGTTGCAAGCAGTTGCACAACCGGTTGCGAACTGTCAAGCGTCGATCACCTAGACCAGGGGTGGGGAACCTTTTTTCTGACAAGGGCCATTTGGATATTTATAACATCATTCGCGGGCCATACTAAATTATCAACTTAAAAATGTGCCCGTTATATTTGGTCAAGCATGTAATTAACTCACCCCTAATGTGATGGCTGGAACTGCTTCTCTTTGGCGAGGCGTGCGATGTTAGCTGGTGTTGATGATGTTGCTACTGGCAACTGCTTTTCCAGGTTTGCTCCTAGATTTATTGAATTTCGAGTCCCGCCTGTGGTTGCCTTGGCAGGGCCACACCAATATATATAAGGCCCACGGGCCTGGACTGTTCCCCACCCCTGACCTAGACGATTTGTAGCAATGTATGTCATCACCATGTGACGCATTTGCGAACTGTCATTGGTCGTTACGATCCAGAACAATGCGTCGTCTAATTCCCTTGCGCAAAGCAGTTGCGGGCAATTTCACGATTTAGTTCAGCAGCTGATTCCAAAGGTGTGGACCCGACTTTAGGCACGTAATTGGTTTCTTTTGAAACTCAAGAGGTGGCACACTATCCGGACCTGTTCCAGACCAGAATCGTGCCTCTCCCCAGACACCCCCCCCCCCTTCCCCCACGAGGCCACCCTACCTCAGCCCGGCTGACGATGATGCGGATGAGGGTGTCGTCGTCGGTGCCGATGCCCTTCATGGACCGGTAGATCTTTTCTGCAAAGTAGGCCTGAGCGTCCTTAGCGCAGCGAACTGCCGGGACCACAGTGGGACACGGGAACCAGGGCGCCCGTTTACGTTACGGTCGCCAACGCCACGCTCGCGTCTCGCGGTGCCCATAGCTCTCAAGCGAGCGTGCTGCTGTGTTCCACCACCACACTGCAGGTCGCAGCCACTCAACCACTCGCCACACTGCAGGTCACAGCAACTCAACCAATCACCACACTGCTGGGCCCAACAACTCAACCAATCACCACACTGCAGGTCACAGCCACTTAACCACTCACCACACTGCAGGGCCCAACAACTCAACCAATCACCACACTGCAGATCGCAGCCACTCAACCAATCACCACACTGCAGGGCCCAACAACTCAACCAATCACCACACTGCTGGGCCCAACAACTCAACCCATCACCATACTGCAGGTCACAGCCACTCAACCACTCACCACACTGCAACACAACCAATCACCACACTGCAGGGCACAACGACTCGACCAATCGCCACTCACCACACTCCAGTGCCCAACAACTCAACTACTCACCACACTGCAGGTCACAGCAACTCAACCACTCCGCAAACGTGATTAAATCAAGATAATAAAATATACTCGTGCTAATTTTCAGCTTTCTAGACCATTCTAGGGGGAAAAATAGCTAATTCGCTCACTCATGACCTACTGTGCAAGTCACGAATGTGGTGGCTGTAGTGAAGTACATACCGCGCATGCATACACAGACACGTGCGTACGTACTAATTGTCAGATAAGCCTCCTGCAGGATTCCTGAGACCTCGCTCTTGATCACCTCCTCTATGTCGCTGCCATGGAGCTGCTCGCACATGGAGGAAGAGGACAGCAGAGAAGAGACGGCCGTTCATATAGAGACAGCCTTGCGCCACACACACGAACTGTTAACTACCCCGCCTGATATACAGGAGGTCGTGGGTTCGATCCCAACTGACGCCTGTATATTTGGAGGTTTGCGTGTCTCTCTCCCCGTGGTCGTGTGTAATTTTCTCGGGGTCCTTCGGTTTTTCCCTCCACAGTTATAAATGCGCATTAAAAGTATTTGCCTACAATACATTTCCACGTGATCATAAGCTACTTCGTTTGAGCTATCATTTGTGGCCAGGTCGCTTCTGAAAAATAACTATATAACTCACCTGTGGCTTATGCCAGACCGTTCTTTGGAAAGCAGCTGTTTACTTTTGCGAGGGTACAACCTCCCCCCCTACCCCCCTCTGTACCAGTTATTTCCCGGAGGAAGTTTTGTCCATTGTAGGTAACAATTTAAAACAGTAGCAGCTGTTCTGCGGGCGTCGTGAAATTGTTAAATCTCTGAATGAATTTGACACGTAATGCTTTCGCGACCAATATAATTCATGATAAAGGTTGTTGGTTTAGATCGCGTGAGTATAAATGTATCGTAACCCGCCACCACCCGACACAGCTAACCGGTAAGGTTTGTCACTTAAACAAAACGCGCCAATAGTTACTACTTCAGCCCACCGCCGTGTTGGAGAGTACATCCACGACCTTTACAATTTGAGCGCCGTGACGTTTCGCTGGTAAATTACATTCAACCATCATCGAGCGATTTTGCCAGAATTGTCAAGAGATCCACCTGCTTCCGCTCTGGAATGAAGTTACACACAGCGGCGGCACTGTGGCTGCGTACAGAGTCTCTCGTGTTTTGAGATGTCGCTCTGAGACCGAAGTCCATGTGTGGTGGTGATCAGGTGGAGGCCGCAGTGTAGCTGGGTAGTGACACGCCAGTGGCCTACAGGAGGCTACTCAACCGTTGATTAATAACTTAAATGTGCCATCCTACCCGGCCGCTCCCTCCACTTATAGCCGTATGAGGCCCGCAACATCATTTGGTCTGGCCCTGCCAAGGCAACCGTAGGCAGGACTCGAAATTCAATAAATCTAGGAGCAAACCTGGAAAAGCAATTGCGAGTAGCAACATCATCAATACCAGCTAACATCACACGCCTCGCCAAAGAGAAGCAGTTCCAGCCATCGCATTAGGGGTGAGTTAATGAAATGTTTTACCAAATATAACGGGCTAATTTTTAAGTTGATAATTTTGTATGGCCCGCGAATTATGTTATAAATATCCGAATGGCCCTTGCAAGAAAAAAGGTTCCCCACCCCTGACTTCTCGGCATGCTTAGAAACGTGCATTTAGAGTATTTGGCCTCTTATCAATTTCCACGTGGTAAGCCACTTCGTTGAGCTTTCATTTGTGGCCAGGTCGCTTCTGACAAAGAGCTACATCGCTCAGTTGACCTTAGGGGCCGTCAATAAATGACGTCACGCACCTGGGGGGGGTGGTGGGGTCAGGCATTTGTGACGATGTGTGACGAGGAGGGGGGGGAG